CTTTCCTCTCTCTTAAGATGATTAAAAACAATGCAATAAAAAATATATAGACACAAACACAACATTCCAAATCTTCAGGATATTTACAAGTAACACCAAAGAAAAAATGTACTATGTCTATATATTATGGACAAATAATAGATTCCAGCTGGTTCAATGATAACAAGCTGGTAAACATATGGTTAATATTTTTGTCTACTGGCTTCACTACAAGCAGTTTTTTGGTGATTTTTCATTTCCTTCTGGGTCATGTTTTCCATTGATTGAGGTCCTCAGATCACCTCCCCCAAATCTTCTGTTGGCATGAAATGTCTGCATCACACCAATTTAGCACTGGGTTACATTCTATTATAAATGTCTCTCTAATAGGTACTTGTCATCTGAGCAAGAAATATTTATGATCAGCTACTTAGTTTGAGTCCCTGGGCTAGGGGCTGAGAATACCATGATGGACAAGACATATTTACCTCCTAAGCCAAACTATTTGTTCTTCATGGCATATGTTTTTAAATGCTTTACCTTTCATCCCCATTTGGCTGATGAATTCTATTAATCTGAAGAAAGAAATGGGCTATATTGAACAAGTAGATATTTTTTTATTGCTCAAGAGTGAAAGAGGCCATTTTTCTGGCCTCTATTGCCTATTAAATAAGTTTAAAAACCTTCAGCCGGTGCAAATGAACTCTTCAGACAGCCACAATTTTACCTGACATTGCTCATAGCTGTTCCTGGCTGGAACTTCAGCTCTAGGAGGGCACTCACATTCTCATCCTAACCTTTGCATGTGTCACTCTGTCTCCTCACTTGGAAAACTTGTGTCCTTTCCAGTGACTCATGCTGTTGGCTTTCAGAGATTCTTTTTTTTTTATTCTGTAACACTGCTAATTATATTGAATGAAACTATGAGTCTTGACAAGTAGATACATAGTCTATAGCATGCTGCCAAAGATAAGAGCCTATGACTTTGTAGGACCCAAGTGTTGTGCCTGCCCCCTCCCCAACTTTCCTCCAACGAATCCATAAGAGCAATCCTTGCGGAGACTATGAGCCTAGAGACCTTTGCTACTACATTAACAATATATTAGGAACAAGCTTGGCAGACTAGTGGTAAAAATCCCCCTTAACTTTAAGAATTCCCATGTATCCTTAGGCAACATCTATAATTCAAGAAAAAAGACTCCCTGAATTGCTGTGCCCTGCAAGACCTAGCTGGGGTCTGTCACCATGGGACCTGTTCACATGCCCATGTCTGCTTATCACCATCTGGCCGTTCTCTAGGGGGTTCACGCTCTGTGCTCATCCAGACCTTCGACCACACTCCCAGGTACTGTGAAAACATTTGGTTTTCTCACTTCTCTGTCTTTTCATTGTTCAAGTTAGCTCAGATCAATGCTGGATACACAGCAAATATTCAGTGAATTCTTAAGTGGATGACAGATACAAAGCACTACTAGCCCTTCCCTTGGGCACAGTGCCCTGCCTGGCAAAACAGAGTTTGGAGGCATCTGTAAGATAATGGTTTACAAGGGCATCATCCCAATTTTTTCTTCCTATCCCAAAGGAAATCTAAAGGAAATGGGTAAATGCCCCCAAGGCTACAACCATAAATTCCACAAGTTGAATCTAATGAATCAAGTGAGGATTGTAAGAGATCAATAGCTCAGCACAGAAATAGATATGAGATATTTCACTGGAATGGAAAAATGAAAAGTTCTACTGAGAACATTTTGAGACACTTTTCAAGATGATTTAGATGCTGATAACGTGATAAATTTCAGTTTATAGAACTGCATTCTTAAGATGCTTTAACTTTAAAATTCATTTAGATCAGGCAGTTTGTATATTTATGTGTGTATATGTGTGTATGTGTGCAGGCATATATGACATATACATACACACGTATATATACAGACTATCTTGGGAGGGCATTGCTGCATTAGGACGATGGAGTTTATTTGAGATCCTCCTTAGTAATTCAAGAAATTTCTGTATACACATCTCTGAGGTACTTGAGATTCTTGGGTAATGTTTGTTATGTAATTGAAAATGTTTACAAGAGCAATATAAAAACATCAGAGCAATAGTTTATTCAATTATGGCTATATATGCATATACACATAATTCATCATTGAAGCCAAAAGTAATGATAGAATCCCCTAGAAAATTTCTATGTTACATCTGAATTATCACACCAAACAATAAACATTGAACATCTTAAAGGACTTCCTGCCCAGCCAATGTGTTCCAGTGGTAGAGCGTCAACTTATGAACCATGAGGGTGCTGGTTCAATTCCTAGTCAGGGCACCTGTCCAGGTTGTAGGCTTGATCCCCAGTGTGTGTGTGTGGGGGGGGGGGGGGGGGCAGGGTGTGCAGGAGGCAGCTGATCAATGATGTTTCTATCTCTCTATCCTTCTCCCTTCCTCTCCCTGGAAAATCAATTTAAAAAAAATATTTTAAAAAAGAACTTCCCGAGGAGTGACACTAAATGTGACAGACAATATTTAACCACATTACGAGTACAGATTTGGAGAATTCCACAATACACAAGTAAATATAAAATGTTGAACTAGTGATGTACAGTGTCTTTTGTAACACACTCGATATAATTTTGAACTGACTGTAAAGGCAATGGCTACCTAACTGTGGTTGTTATTTTGGTATTTGGTTATTGTGGGGCTTGGAAAGCTCAGAATGAATACACCCAATGATGACATCTTTAAAAATTGTGTGCGTGCCCCAGTCTTGCCTTCATACCATACACAGAAACACCATAACGTGACTCCAAGCACTCATAATGAGATACACAAAACTGTTGCTGCAAAGTTCTGCCCACTATCCTCTATTTAGCACCATACACCACACAGCTCATGGTCTGCTACTACATTGTTTCTTAGCCCCCCTAATCTGTTTAGTTCCCAAGAATTTTTATTCTCAAAATTCAGTAAGCAAATTTCCCAATGAAGTCCCTCAGCAGTAAGTTATAATTTCTTTCACTAAATATTTCCTGTTGCATCCCAAACAATGACATGCTAACATTTCACTTTTGATTCAAAAGCTGACACTCAAAAATACTTTCTAAGTGTATTTTTTTTAGTTATAAACTTGATCTATCTATCTATCCTTTTCACTCTCTCTCCCTCCCTCCCTCCTTCTTTCCTCCCTGACTCTGTTTCTCATCAGACTTCTAACCAAAACATCAAATCCATGCTTTAAATAACAAACAACTCTCTGGCCTGTGGGCTGCAGCACTCGTAGGGAAATCGAGGGCTCTTGCTAGTTTCATGTTTGCGTCTAGTTCCAATACCATGGGCAGGGTGCTTGTTCTGAGTTTTGAGTCTTGGGTACCAAACACTGTATTCTCTGAATAACGCCCCTGTTTGGCCCTTTTTCATCATCTCTATCGTTCATGGTAGAGTGCTACTGAAAAGTGAGGAAATAAAGAATCTACACCAGTTCTACAGTATATTCTTTACTATTTACAAAATAAACAGACCTTTGTTTTTCCTTTAAGGATGGATAATTTAATTGGTGCTGGATCTCTCTGACCTTGAACAAAAGTACAATACTAGTAGAACTGTGATGCATGTATTTTAAAGTGGTTTCTCTTGTGTTCTTTAATTGCTAGAAGATAATATTTGAAATTAATATTCATTTCTCTAACAAAAAGGAAGAATGAATACTCAGAGTACAGATAAACAGGAAACCATTACTCAGCTTACTTTTTATATTCACAGCCTAGTGAGTCTAAATGCATCTGTCCTGGTTAAGGACCTCTGAGTTACTTGCCTGTCATGCTGGAGTTTTAAAACTTCATTTTTGTAGCACCAGAACTTTAAAACAATAAACTGTACTTCTTATGATTATAAAAATATCATGTGCATGCTCATGATAGAAAGTTTGTTGATAATAGATCAAAGAAAACATTCAAACAGACTCATTATTTTGTTTTGACTCATACTTTTTCTGCTGACTGCACATGGACTTCCAAATAGTCTGTAAGTCGTTATAGGTGACATTATCAATGTGCGAGGGAAATAACACACACTGTAGCCAGGCAAGCAACACATACTACATATGGAAGCTGAACCGAGTCACACTGACAAAATAGTGACAACTATGTGACTGGAAGAAAATTGTCCTTAAATACAATCAAGAATACAATTGTTCTTAAATACACAGTGGGTCCCTGACGGTGAGGACATGGATTTGTAACTAGGACTAGGAGGTCATTGAAGGAAATAGTCCTTTCACTAATGGTGGATCTCCAAAGATGGAAGGGTGCAGACGGTAGAAATTTGAGGATGCTGACCTGATCCTCGTGTCAGGAGGAGGTTTCCATGTGATGGCACCAAAACCAATAAAGCCAACCTCCATCTAAAAGGCAGTATCTTTCTTTACCTAGAACATTCCCTTTGGAAACTTATAGATATTATTACTATACACCTATGAAAATTAGAGTGGAAAGTAATCTGATAGACAGCAAAACTATAAACACTTGATTACTGAATGCTTTAGGTAGGAATTTGTAGTTTTAATACAAAAACACTTAAAAAATATTGCCAGATACAGTCATTTTTTAAATTATCCACATCTGAATGAAACAGATTATTTATGTCAAACATGAAGCCCTAATTGTTTCTCTCAGCCACCAAAAATGATCTCTTTCATTACCAATTAAGTAAGAGTGCAGGAAATTGAACAGCTTTCAATCTTAATCTGAGCAAAACATAATTAGCAAGGTAATTCTGCTATAACAGGATGTTTTGGATTGTATGTATCATTTAAAATATCATTGGTCATAGGAGAGAAGTGGGAACAGAATGTAGCATTTCAACATTTTTAAAAATTTCACTTTAAAAATATTTTAAATTATTTACTGCAACGTTGCGACTTACTCTTCTCTAAATTTAAAAGCATTTGGCAATGCAATCCTGATGGTACACAATGAATAAAACAAACATTTCCAAGTTAAATTGCTATAATTGCTAAAATCACTTACCGATGGAAAATTGGAGTACAGAGGCTGTTGTTGTATTAAGGCCTGTGGTGATCTAGAAAAAGGAATATATACCAAAATAAGACAAGATAGAGAGGAGGAGAAAATGGTGAAAGACACCCAGAGGAGGGGGGAGGGAAAGAAGAGGAAAGGAAGAAGCCATAAACAGAGGTTGTATTTGTCCAGTGGTTAGTTTACTTTTACTGAACTGTCTGAACACAGATCTATCTTGTTTCTCTGTGGGAAACAAAGCTGTGAGATCCTGACTGAGACACTCTAACTGTGTTTCTTACCATATGCTGAACACTGCTTGTAGGCAACCTACCAGATCATCGTAATCTTGTGTGGGCTCTAACACAGCCCCCTCCACTCACACTACCACCTCCCCTCCATCCTCCATCAACAGATCTGGGACCCAAAGCAAATGTCATAAAAAGGTTAACAACCCAAAACTGGGAGGTAAATTAAGACCAAATGAGGAGAAAAAGATTATTTTGAAAAGTCAACAGAATTACAACAGCTAACAGGTACAGTATTTCTTTTGGGGGTGATGAAATGTTCTAAAGTTGATTGTGGCAATGCTCACATAATTTTATGAATAAATGAAAAATTGTGAATTGTATGCTTTAAAGGAATAAATTGTAGAATATGTAAAGTATTTCTCAATAAAACTGTTATCCCCCCCAAAAAAGTAATCAAATTATGGGCCTAGAAATATCCTTCCTACACAATTCTATTATTTCCCCTTAGTTTCATAATTTTCCCCTTTCTGAAAAAGAAATGGTGCATTAATTTAAAAAAAAATTAAATTGAAAAGTTTTTTACTTATTTATTCTTCGGAGCACTGACTCTGATCCATACCAGCTCAAATGAAATGAGAATTAAGATTCTCATTTTCAACAACTCTCTTGTTGGGTTCTTGACCCTGTAAGCTAAAAGTGTGGGGCACCTCCCATCGCTGGACCCTAAAAAATAGAAAGTGTGTAACTGTGTTTTCAACCATGGCAGAAGCAGTCGGCTGTCTTACTTTGACCTCTTAGACGCCACAATGACATTCTGGCCTCATCCCTGCACTTTGTTAGACCCCGTGTGATTAAGTCCACAACTGCAGAAGGGTCCAGAGATGCCCAAGACATGAATTGCAGTGTGAGTTAGTGGACAAAAGAGTGAGCAAGCCTCTTGTTCTGCCAGATGGAGCTGAGATGTGAATATCAAAAGATTCTGCTTCCGCAACACGTTTCGGAAAGATGACTGAGCGTGTGCTTCACATACATGGATTAAAAGTTAATGAAGCAGGAAGGGTGAGGAGGAAAGGGCAAGGGAGGCACTGTACAAGTTGTCCAGCTATCAGTATAGGTACCAGCTCCTACTTGCTTTTAACCCCTGCAGAAATCACTGCTGTCAAGTGTCAGAGGAAATTCTCTATTTCATCTAAATCCCTCATTATCACAGATTATCTGCTCAAGGAAAGCTGGGCCACCATTCCCAGGACTCTTATTCCTGCTCCATTCCCCTCACCAGTCATGAGAGTAAAATGCCCCAGTAGAGTATTCTGTAAGCAATCCTTATCAAGACTCCTTTAAAAGAAATCTGTTTGATTTTCAACGTTTTTAGAGTATGTCCAACTATTTGCCCTCACAAGTTTCCACTTGAATAATCTGATGTTAACGTTCAGTGAAGCACAGGGAAATTTAAAAATTGTTTCACCAAATTTGAATGAACATTCTTCACCACCCTCTGGTTTTATGTAACTGAGTAGATTCCTGGATGAGTGATGAAACACTCCTGAATATAAGTTCTTTGAAATGATGGTATTATATAAGTTAAAAGCACCATGGTTATTGCTACTGTCGGTGCATTAAATATACTAGAGAGTCCTACCCTGGTGGTACAATAAATGATGCTTGTGTCAACTGCGTGATCAAGTCCCACAGCTGTGACCTCTGCTAGCAAACAGCAGGTTGCTTGAATTACTGCCAAATTTCAGATTACATGTGCTAACTGAGGGTGACCCTAGACTTGGATTAGTCATTGATTCTACATTTTTCCCTTCTTCACCAGGAAAGCTAAGGACTGGTAGAGTGGTTGACTCCCATTTCTGTACATTTACCCATTTAGTTTATTAGTAAAATTCTCAGCTATAAGAAAATACAGAAAAAATGAAGAGAAAAAAATAACTAAAGCATTTGCCTATAAAATGTATTCACCTTTATTTTCCTCCGGTCATTATAAATTACTTATTGTTCTTGAGTTCAAATATGTAATTTTAGTCTGCAGAGCAATTAAGCCTTTATATCTGACATTCTGAAAACTAAAGGGCCTCTCAAAGGGCTTTTGGTAAATAATACAGCAACTATGAATGTCTGGAAGAGAACTTTTTTCCCCTATAAACTCTTAGTAATCTTAAACGATCAAATAGACTCCAAACTGTAGAAAACTGGTATGAGACTAAATGAATCTGAAGAATTCACTGCAGGCTGAGGCTGTTTGTTCTGTTCTTCTTCCTTGCAAATTTTTATTGAGTTTGATCATGTTTTAGCCCAAACTCACCCTTGTTGCTAAAAGGTATTCCCAAATATGAATAATTCAATAAATAATTTCTTTTTTAAATGGAGGGTAACATAACTAATTTTGTTTTAAGCTCTGAGAAAGCACATTTTCTCTTAAAGGAGTGGGTAAGTCATTCCTTGTTAACTTTATTTCAGACTAGCGAATGAATAGAGTTAGCTGCCAGCACCAGAAATATGGAGACTTCAGTGAGCTGAATAAATGGGCGAGGGCCACACAGCACAGCAGCAGTGAAAGCAGAAATGTACGTGTGCCTATGTGATAACAGAGGCTGCCTCTCACTATCTCTGACTAAAAAATAAATATATAAAATAAATGAAACGGCCATTTGACTAAATTCTCAAAATGGAAATGCTCTTTTTCATTTTAAAAGACAAAGTATTAGCCTCGTAAGGGTCTTTGCTTGTGGTTCTTTGTTTCACAACTTCAGTAAGAATTCGATTTATGAAAATTAAGAAGGCATATTTTTTTAAAAAAAGTTTGAGGCTAATAACTTCCATCTGTTCTCAGGTAGAACAATTTTGATTGGACTCAATTCTGAAGCACCATACAAATCTTTGAATTTGCGTAAACATAATAGCATGGTAACTAACACCTGAGTTCCTCACTTTTCATTTGATCTGTCCTCTGTAAACACAACTGGGGTAATAAGTATATATTTGCTCCTGGGACCCTAATACAGCATAAAATTATTGAAAATTAAAACTGCTACTGTGTTAAATGTGACTGTCATCCCTATCTTTGTTAATGTATCTTCATTCTATTGCCTTTGAGTCCACAACACAATTTATCTTAGGGAAAGTACTTACAATGGGAATACAGATCTGCAAATGCTTTTTTTGCTTTCTTGGATGAGGAACATTATTTTGAAGATTTTCTTTTTCAGTTGAAAGGCTTATCTCACATTAATTATATAACACAACTCAAGACGAGTCCATTGGATGTATAAACTCTAATGTTAAATAAATGAGGATATAGTGAAAAATCAGGATCAAAATTACATGGGATCAGAGTAGACACTTTAGTTTTATGCTATAGAAATTGTTCATTATATTCTTAGATATGTTTATTTCCTATTAATCAATAGAAAGAAAAAAAGAATTTGCCAAGCATTTCCATAAATATTACTGAATGGGAGAACATTCTAAAATAGGCATTTATTTTAAGCTCAATTAACTACGATAAAATTTTAATTTTGTTTTAAGGTTTAGAGAAAATTAATTCAGTCATGGTACATTATTTTAAATGTACTAGCACATCTATTTCTTTCAAGAAGTGCTGCAGTACCAGTCACATTTGTCTGCAGGAATACTGTACCACCGTGTGAGCCTTGAATTATGAGCATCTATTATTTTAATTTACATCCAATTAATTCTGTTTGTGTTCTAATTTCAACTAAAAACTCTTCAATTTATCAATGTTCTGAGGCTCGTATCTTTAATAAATTAAATGTATCCATTGCCATAAAAGGGGTACTCAAGCAGCATAAAAAAAGAACCATGTTATAAAAATTAATTGACTTTCACATTTTTATAACTAAATCTTCTTTTAATTGCCTAGCTAGGTTCCTCCCCCCTCCAGCGCCCCCCTCCCTTTTTCAGTATGGAAGCCAGTCATTTGACCACTTTTAAAGTTAATGAGCTTGAAATACAATGTGTGACATAGGGGTAAAAAGTATAAACTGTTATGAAAGCCCCATGATAAGGAAGATGGGGAGAGAAAAGGAGAAGCACTGAAGTCCAAGTCAAACGCAGAAAAGCAAAGCAGAAGAGATGTTGTGAGAAGAGTAGGAGATGCAAAGGAATTGGGCCAGAATAATGTAATGTTTGCCCTATATCCACTTTCAAGAATGTGAAATGAACTGCTCTTCAGGCCAAAACGAAGTATCAAGGAACAACAGGCTCAGTAGCCACGTGCTGCTGGCTCCTGGTTTCACTGTTTTCAACTGAGAATGCTCAAGTGTCATTTCACATATAATCTAAGAGATGATCTTTGGCAAGCTAAGTCTCATCACTATTAATTAAAGGAAAGTAATTTGCTCTTGAACAATTCTGCATAAACCACAAATTTTAAAAACTGGTTTATTCACTGTACTCTTTCACTTTAAAAAATCATCAAACGTTTTTCTGATTAGGGAACACAGTTTAAAAATCATGTGACCAAATTGCTCATCTAACATTTCTGGCTTGTGAGGAGAAAATAAATTTAGAAGTAAACCTTTATACAAGAACTTGTGAAGTCATAAATTATTTAAATATGTATAGATAAATGTGTAATATATGTCATATGTCACTCATATTATGTCCATATTTTCCCTCTTTTTAGTGTGGAAGCCAGTCATTTGACCACTTTTAAAGTTAATGAATCTGAAACATAATGTGTGACATAGGGGTGAAAAATATAACCTGTTACTAAAAGCCCCATGATAAGGAAGATGTTGGCAAAAGCTTAGTAAAGACGATGTATTTGGAATAATGTACATAGATAACATGTACTTACCAATTCTCTTGGACCATATGGCTCACAGAAGGTGACAGCATTGCCGTGCATAATAGCGCCGCACTGTTCTCCAATCTCACAGTTGCGACATTCAACCCTGTGGGAACACAGAATGCATCCCCGGTCTGAGAACTAAGTAGCACAAAGTGGTTTATTGCTCAAGTAAAGAAAGATGTAATAGTTATTGCTATTTAGTTCATATCAACATTTTGAGGAAAGCAAATGTACTGTGCCATGTTAAGGAACCATGAAACCAGAAAGACTTAAATTTAAATCCCAATTCTTTAGTTACTTGCCGTGGTGGGTAATTTCCTTAACTGCCAAAAATGAGGATAATAATACCGATGTAAACTAACATAGTTATTGTGCAGATTAAATGAATGTATAAAAAATACAGAGTACAGAACCAATCTCTTAGTTCTTAATAATGGCAGATGGTATCATCAATAATTATATATAATATATATGTTCAATACAAGGATGTCTGTAAATATTAAAAATAAGCTAAGTAATATATACTTATATAATGACCTAAAAACTGGTATCTCTGAAATCAAAAGATGTTTTACAAATTATAAATCTTTTGAGATATAATTAGTATAAATGTTTAAAATTATTGTTCGCATTGTTCTTAAATAAATTTGCACGTCTAGAAAATATACCATGCTAAAAATAATGGAATCAGACTATATTTAATTCACTTATTAATATGAACTATACACAAATTCTAATTCAAGCCCAGTTTGGATACTGAGTTACTACATTTACTTTGCAAATGATTTAAGTGTCTGCTTTATTACTGTAAAATGAAGTGCTTAATATATCCTTAGGATTTATTATGATTATGATTTCAAAAATAAATGTATCCATGTTTTTAGTAGAAAATGGATTTATGAATATTCTAGAGTTGACTTTGCATATTTACAGGAACAGTCACAATGGTCTGCATCGCAACATTTCGACCTACCATCACTACATACCTAACACGGAGAAAGATAGATGTTTCCTCTGTCTGAACCTCAAACCACATGAGAGCTGTATTTCATGCAGAGAGAACATTTTCAAAGACTTTCACATTCCAGGTGCCAAACATTGTGGAAAGAGCACTGTGCCCTTTGTTTGGGAGATCACTGCATTATGCTCGTTCAGCATTTTGCTAATTTTAGAGAGAGTAGGAACACCCATCAAAGTAGGAAGACAAAAGTGTGAAGAGGTGTCAGTTACCCCATAAATCTTAGCGGCAGAAGCAGAGTGAGTCAGAAATTGGCAAATAATGGTATTCCCTATATGTATATTGCATGAAATAAATGATTGTTCTCATTCCAATCTTTTGAGCTGTGTTCCTACACCAGGAGATAACAATGCCACGAACCTTTGATTTTTTATTTTTATGCTTTGTAGAATAAACAGGGAACTATTTCTGGTAGGGAATTTACAATGCTAGCATTACAAATATCAGTAAGATTTTAAAATCTTCTCTGATTACTGTGAAGCAAGATTCTAATAAATGTCCTTGACATGAGAAGAGATATAGTAGTAACTTCATAAGGGCAACAAACATGTCTCTTGTTCACCATTTTATGCCTTGCATGTTGTATTCCATAAAAATCTGTTGAATGAATGAATGAATATAAGACAATTTCATGAACAGAACTATTATTAAGGCCTGAGGTCCAAAGCACTTAGAATAGTGCTTGGCACATAGCAAGAACAATGTAAGTGTTAGTGTCTGAGTTATTTTTATTATTACAGATTTCCACCATTTTCATCCAGAACTGGTATATTTGATTTTTCCTCACAGAGAACCTATTACATGAACTTTTTACTACTGTTTTTCTATTTTTAAACTATACATTATTTTTTTCCCCAAGGACTGTGATGTGATAAAAGTACAGAGATGGAGCACAAATATTATAGTGGGATTCTCACTTAGTGATATATGAGGATTTTTTGGCTACAAGTCATTGTAAAATGGCTTGAAAGAAACATCAACTTTGACAGGAAAAAAAAATTGAAAGAATGTTCACCTCTCAAAATGGCTATCTGCCATTTTCCCCCAGTAACTCTAAACTAAAAACATCACTGCTGATGTGAAATCCAAGGTCTAATGTTGAAATTCCCATAGCAATAATCCTACCTATAAGTATTGATTAGCAGTCCCCAAATCAACTCTATATCAGAAAAATAATATCTGTATAAAACATATGTATTACATCTCCCTTCCCCCATAGTTTGGATTAAACAGAGTTCAGGTACAGCCTAGACACCTGTATATTGTTTAAAGGTGATTCTAGCCCTGGCTCAGTGGATAGAGCATCAGCCTGCAGACTGAAGGGTCCCAGGTTCTATTCTGGCCAAGGGCACATGCCTGGGTTGCAGGTTCGATCCCCAGTAGGGGGCATGCAGGAGGGAGCCGATCAATGATTCTCTCTCATCATTGATGTTTCTATCTCTCTATCCCTCTCCCTTCGTCTCTGAAATCAATAACAATATATTTTTTTTAAAAGGTGATTCTAACATAGATGGCCTACAGCCTGGCATCAAGGAAACAGTGAATAGACAACAGATGTTTGGTATGTTTGGAGAATCACTTCTATGTTGTGGAATAACAGAAATTAAAATACTAGTAAAAAAAAAAAAAAAGCAAACAGATACAGCCTTTCTCTGCATTTGGCTTAACAATCCCTCTAGACCAGTGGTCGGCAAACTGCGGCCTCTTGAGTGTGGCTCTTCCACAAAATACCACGTGCGGGCGTGCATGTACAGTGTGATTGAAACTTCGTCGCCACACTCAAGGGGCCAAAGAGCCGCATGTGGCTCGTGAGCCGCAGTTTGCCGACCACTGCTCTAGACCTTTCTCTTCTTCACTGTGCTTTATAGCTCCAGAAACTTAAAATAAAACTTCTAAAGGCATTGGTGCCCTGTTGAAACGTAAAGATTTAGAATTATCAATATTTAGAATTACTCACTGTGTTGCTGCTACTTGGAGGCACAATGGCTTCAACAAGGATTGATGGAACAAATCTGTCAGCTTCCTGCCAAGGTCTTTTCTGTCCTTTCCTAGAATTTCTCACAGTCTAACTGCGATTGTCAACAAAATTTATTATAATTTAAACCTGAATGCCCATCCCACTCTTAGCTGCCAATGGCGTTATTGATTCATTCCTCATTCATTAATTCATTCTTGAAATTAACGAACTTATATTGAGGGCCCACAGGCACTGTGGTGAGCTTTAGTGGGACAAAAACAAATAGAACAGTGTGAGTTCCTTCCAGGAGGAAAGGCAGAGAAACAAGCACACAATTGCAATATAGGGTGCCAATGCAATGATAGCTATTTATTTCATTCAATTATGTACCAGATACTCCAAAGCCCATTAAAATCTCTCAACCACTCGATAAGATAGCTGTCTGTGTCATTTTACTAATAACTGAGCTTCAGAGAAGTTAAGCATTTGCTCAAGTCACACAGTTGTGATTTGGACCAAGTGCTTGCTAATTCCAACAACCCTCACATTTTCCATGGCTCCTCATTCCTCATAATAGGAGTACCCTGGCTGTGATGGTACCTAACTCAGACTGAGGAAGAAAGGGAAAGCTCCTAAAGGAGGTGGTCCCAGAACTGGTCCTGAATGAGAACTAGTTACCCAAGCAAAGAAGAAAGGTGAGTTGTGATCGGGCACAAAGAATGCAGAGATTATGACACACAAGAACTGCTACTTCTGTGCATTAGTATGGTTGGAATTATACTGGTTCATGAAGAAGGTGGCGAGGGATGGGGCTGGGAAGTGGGAAACAGTACATGAAAGGCTTCATGGACCAATTACCAAGTAATAGGTACTGTACTAAAAACTCTACAAATAATGCCTCATTTAATTTATGTAAAACCCCTCCCTCTATTTTTTTATCCTCATTAACTGAGACTTAGAGATATTAAATGATCGTCCAAGGTTGCACTGCTTGAAGTTACAGAACTGGAATTCAAACTCCCAATATCCAACTCCCGTGGTCATGATACAACCCCAACTTTTAGGAAAATTTCTCCAGCAAATGATGGAATGGAGGTAGACGAGACAAGACTATTGATGTAACACAAGCAAGACATAATAGTGCTTGAGATAAGGTGGAAGTGGAGAAAAGTGGGCACACTCTAAAATATTGCTATTCAATAGAAATATTAATGTGAGCAACAGGTAATTTTCAACTTGCTAATGGCTACACTAAGAAATATAAAGGAACAGGTGATACTAATTGTAATAATATTTTATTTAACTCAATATATTTAAATTACATGTTAACATTTAATTAATGTAAAATTATTAATGACATAGTTTATATTCTCTGTTCATAATAGGTTTTCAAATTGAGAGGTGTATTTTACACTTATAGCACACCTCTGTTCTGACTAGTCACATTTCAAGTGCTCAACAGCCATGTGACTAGTGGCTACTATATTGGACAGCATGATTCTAGAGAATTACAGAGCTTGGAGATTGCTCTCTGGTTATGCTGACAACTGGAGATGCCCAGCTAACAATGATTATTATATAGTACTAGAGGCCCGGTGCACAAAAATTTGTGCTTTTGGGGGGGTGGAGGGGTCCCTCAGCCCGGCCTGTGCCCTCTCGCAGTCTGGGACCCCTCAGGGGATGACCACCTGCTAGCTTAGGCCCGCTCCCTGGAGGATTGGGCCTAAGATGGCAATCAGACATCCCTCTGGCAGCCCAGCAGCCCTCGGGGAATGTCCATTTGCCAGCAGGGAGCAGACCTAAGCTGCAGTCAGACATCCTTAGTGCTGCTGAGGAGGCAGGGGAGGCTCCCGCCACCACCGCTGTGCTGGCAGCAGTCAGCCTGGCTTGTGGCTGAGCAGAGCTCCCTCTATGGAGGGGGAGCACACTGACCTCCAGGGGGCAGCTCCTGCGTTGAGCGTCTGCCCCCTGGTGGTCAGTGTGTGTCATAGTGACCAGTCATTCCCAGTCTTT